GTTCAAGAAAAATCTAAAATATATCAACTTGAAACCGATAATGCTAAATTACGGAAACAACTTGAGCAAACGAAAACACAAGGTTAATTGATTTTATAAACTTTTGATATTAATAAAAAATAAAATAATAAAATAAATAATTAATTAATTATTTATATGTATTTTTTTTTTTTTTAACAAAACAGCCGCAGAAGAAATAGCATGTTTACAGGCCCAAGTTGAAACGTTACTGGCTACATCAAAAAAACAAGAAATTATTAGTGAGACACCTAATTCTATCGCTAACATATCAACGCCACCAGAATCCCCATGTAATTCGCGACCAAGTAGTGACTTCTTTAATGAAATGAGCAGTGAAACAAATAGTATAGCCGATGGTATAATTAATGCTGGTATAAATACAATAGTTACAACTGTTGCAAATGGTGATTGGGTAACAGTTAGAAAACGAGGTAGCAAGCGAAGAGGTGCATCGCGAAGTCGCGGAGGAAATCGTGGTGGACGACGGGTGAGCTTTCACCTTTAAAATTATTTATATAAAATTAATATTATTAATATTGAATACTAATTTCATTTCTTTCAAGTATTAGATATTAAAGTCCGAATTTTATACTCCAATAATTGAATTTGGTTAAGGCAATAACGCAAGAACGATTCATCATCCTACTTATCCATGGGAACATTTGTTATTAATATTTAACTACAACACCAACTATCGATACAACAATCAACACTCCTTTTTCATCACACCATTAACTTTCGATCACATATATCTCTCACTTGCCATTTCATTACTGTTCAGTTCTTATTTTTTTTGAGTGTATTATTTTGGATTGGGTAATATTCTGTGTCTATCAACATTTTTATTTATTTAATTATTTTTTTCCTGTATTATCTTGTAGTTGACTTATTTTTGGTATAAAAAGAATAATGATAATAACAGGCCAATTTTTAGTTTTTATGACAAAAAAAAACAAAAAAAAGATAATAAGTTTGATAAAAAAAGATATTAAAGAATTATGTAAATTATGATGGTATTATTTGAAATAGTATTATCATACTCTCAAAACAATTATCTTTTATTTTTTTACTTTTAAGGAACAACCCGATTTTAATTCTCCTTAAAAGTGATTAAAAAAAAGAAAAAATTTAGTATTTGTATTATTTAATCAAATTTATTATCATAGTTTGCATGTATCAATATATATTCACTTATTCATATTCTATGAGTTGTTTTTTTTTTTACATAGATTAGTTGTAATTTTAATTTAAAATAGGTTTATGGTGAGGTGTTATAATTATTAAAAAAAACAAAACCAAAAAAAAAATCTAAATAAATTATTTAAACGATTGGTCAAATCTTTTAATTAATGTATATATTTTAGGATTCAGTTGTTCAGTCATTCAGAACGTGACTTTGATAAAATTTCGTGATCATGACGTAAACTTGCAATCATGGGGTAATGAATTATGTGCATGTAACATTTATAATCATTCATATTAGTAATATAGTTATTTCATACATACTAATGCATTAACTCATTATTTTAGCATTATTTAATAAGATTTATCGGAAAATTTTTCAAGCCGACAGATGACGATTACTAACAATTAATCGATTATTATTAACCGATAATAATCAATGGTGGTGTTTGTAATCGTTAGATACTATATCCCACTTTTTTTAAAAAAAGATCGCATTATTTCAAAATTTCATCTAAGAAATCACTTTTAGCGTACTAACAAAAAAAAATTCTTGGCAAATTTTTTAGTACAATTTTGTACGCTAACCCTACACTAACTCTAAATAAAATGTCACATTTTAAAAAAAAGCAATATCATATAAATTATTTCAACCAATAGAAAGTGTGGGTGAAAATTAATAAATGCACATCATTAAATCTAGCTGCCGCACAAAAAATGTGCGACAAATCCATGATTTTAATTGGTTATACTATACAGTTCTGCTTCGTAGACAATCACGTCACAAACATATTATTTCACAGAAAGTTACCCGACTTGTTTATTTATAGAACATTCATTTATAGACAAATTCATTTCATAGACATTTATTTTACCAACAAAGTAATCATAATCATGATTGTAATGAACACATCACAAGTAGAACAATGAATATTTTCTGCATGTTAAAAAAAAGGAAGTCTTTAATATGCCATGCAACTTTTCCAAATAGTTTCTACGTTGTCTAAATATTTTTTGTGCTTCTTTTGAAAGGATAGAAAATGTTTAGAAAGTATATAAAAAAGTTATATAGTGTAACCATTGAATGGGAGCTAGTAGAACAGCATAAACAATAGGCCAATTTAATTCAAACGGTGTACGGGAAGATAATAATGAACTTTAGGTAAAGCGATTGTGTCTTTTATAAATTCTAAGGGATATTTTGACGAAATAACGCTATAAGTTGAAGACTTTGATATCAATGGGTAATGGAGTTGTGATGTGACGTTATATGATGTTAATGATAACAAAGACGATGATCCTAAAGACGGTGATGATCAGGCCTACCGAATAATTGATTGTAGGGGCAATTAATTGCAATTATTTTGAACTCAATTAATTGATTGGTGGCGC